GTCACAGTAAGGTTGAGATATCCTCTGTTGAATTGGTATTTGCAACCAAAGGTGTTATCTCTAGTCTTTTGAGAGTCAGTTATCATCCTGGGTCATGTCTCCAGCTTGTCCTGGGAGTTGAGAGACTCCTCATGTCTCCTTCAAGTACATCCTGGGGTTCACAGTTTCCATAATATCATGTTGTGGAACTGGAACTCCCCTTGCATAGCCGTGGCTTTCTCCTGAGTCAGATTTGGGTCTCTTCCTAGGTCCACAGGTTTCTCTTCAGTGCTATATGAAACTCTCAGCATGTGTGGGACTTGTTCTGAGGGCTTAAGACTCCCAATTTGAGCCAGGAGTTATGGAATTTTATCACTATTTAAGGTGGAACAAATTTTCATACTCATGAGATGCATATTCTATTTAATATTTGCGTATAAAGAATCAAACTTTTGCTTGAATATAAGATACTGCTGGAAATAGATCATCTTCAATGTTTTTAGAATTGATAAATAATTTGATTTAAAAATCATCAAGGCCACTTCTTTAATTCTTATAAATTCTGTCCTTTTCTGTGGTGGTTGAATAAGAATGACCCTAATAGACTCATATAGGTGTGGCCTTATTGGAGTTGGTGTTGCCTTCTTGGAGTTGATGAAGCTTTTTAGAGTAGGTACAGTCTTGTTAGAGTAGGTATGGCCATGTTGAAGGAAGTAGGTCATGGGGGAGGGCCCATGCCACACTCTCTCTCTTTGCTGCTTGTGTATAAGGATGTAGACCTTTCAGTTACTTTTCCAGTACTATGCCCAGTTATGTGTGCCACTAGTCTTCTTACTATGATGATAATGAATGAAGCCTTTAAAACATTAAACCAGCCTCATATAAAATGGTTTATTTTATAAGTTTTTGTGGCCCTGGTGTCTCCTCATAGCCATGAAACAATGAATAAAACATTATCCTAAGCTAAAATTCATTTGACATGTTTTTCAGTATTCTCAGTCTATTAAGTGGAAGTTAAAATATGTAAAAAAATCTTTTCTATTCATAATTTAAAAATATCTTAATTGATTTTTTTGAGAATTTTATACAATGTGTTTTGACTGCAATTATTCCCTTTCCACAACTCCCCCCAAATCCCCTACCTCTCTACTGACTCAAATATGTGTTTTGTTTTCTGTTATCAAAAACACATCAAGACAGGAATCTAAATATTAGGCTAGAACAAGTAAGTAGGCTTCAGACATGAAAATGACTTTGGGCTATGACAGGGAAGTTGACTCAGATATTTTGATCAACCTGAGCCCTTAGAAACAGTGATCACGGGAGTGTTCATGGAATTTTGTTTATTGCCTTGCTTGTTTTTTTTTTTTTTTTGACTATTTGGTTTATTGTTTTGCTTGTTCCTTGACTATTTGCATCTATTGTACTGCTAGACCCTCAACCTAGAACTGACCTTAATACATGCATGTTATCAAAATGGTACAAAAGCATAAAGGAGGAAGGGGGTTGGGATAGGGGGCTCTGGGAGGGGGGAATGGGGAAAGGGGATGACATCTGAAATGTAAATAAAACATCCAATAAAAATAAAAACACATCAAGTCCAATTTATATTTCTAAAATACATTTGGATGTGGAGACAGTACTTATAGTCTGGTCACTTATTAAGGAAAACTGACTTTACCTTTCTCAGTAGCTAATTATTACCAATAGTTCGTTTCCTAGAGGTAATACTTTATGTCCATATCCTCTGTAAATTCTGACTTTGGCTTGAATTTTCACAGATCTTGTGTATGTTTTCACACATGCTGTGAATATACATGTGTAAGTGAGCTGAGGTGTTCAAAAACCACTTGTTTCATTTGTAGGCATCCACTGACTATATTTACAATCTTTCTGCTCCCTCTTCCACTATGATATATGGTCAATAATTTGATTTAAACATTTAAAAATCTTTTGTGAGAAAGGATGAAACCCAGATGTCTTATGCAGTTTCTTTTTAAAATTTATTATTATTATTATTATTAATTATTATTCAGTTTCTTATTCTCTGCATATTGACCATTTGTGGGCCTTTGTGGTAATAAAAATACAGTGTAAGGAGTATCTTCTCTGATGAGAAAATGCACTAAACTATAGGTCTGCAGTAAGTTGTTAGAAGTCAGTTTAAAGTCCATTTAGAGGAATGATAGTAACAGGTTATTCATTCTGGCCTATGATATATCTAGCCACATGGTGTATCTTACCCATGATAGCCATGCTAGGTACAGGTTTTATCCTGTGTACAGTGTCTTAAATCCAACCAGAAAGTGGTGGGATACTTCTAAAACTTTTTTGCCACTAATACACCAGTGGTTTGTTTATCTTACCATGCTGGCTATAATTTTAGCTGTTTGGATTCAAAGTTGGATGAGATTAATGATTAAATTTCTCCTTCAGTTGCATGTACAAAAATTTCCAGTGCTGTGAAAGATAGTTAATAGGGATGAAACTTACAGATGAGTAGCAGCTTGGTTTCTTCACGTTCTTTGACTTAAGTATACTCAGAAATAGGGAGGGTCTTACTGTGAAGTTCTTGAGGGTAAGGTAGGGAATAATTCTAGGATCTCTTTTGTCTTACCTATTAGCTATGTGAATCTGAGAGAAATGAATAACTGCTCTGAACTTTCTGATTAGTCAGTTCTAAAACTCATTTATGATATTTATTGTGTCATAGAGGATTATCGTGAAAGTCAAATGAGGCACAAAATGGAAATACTGTACTTGGGAAACTATGACACCCTTCTAGAAATGCCAAATACATACATGTAAAGTCATGGAGATACCAATGGTAAGGAAGCTTCTAGAAATATTCATAGTAGTATTGTAATCATTCTTCTACTACTCCTTAAATTAATCTAACTCCATAGACTAAGTAGTTTCTAAACACAATATCCAGTATATTACCATACTTAAAACCCATCAACAAATTCTCTCTTTGCCTTTAGTATGAAGTTGGGTCTTTTGGTAGGGGTTGAGATAGGTTCTCACAGATTGGCCTGGAATTCACTGTGTAGACCAGGCTGGCCTTAAAGTCACAGAGACCTTCCTGCCTCTGCTTCTAAAGTGCTGGGATTAAAGTGGTGGGATTCCACCATACTCAGCTGTGGCAGGGATCTTGTACGCTGAACTATGGATGGAAAAGTAAAGGTCTCTTTTATGGTGAAATTAGTACTAGGTAAAGAAAAACTTGAATAGATGGTATATGATAGCAACCCAGACAGATCTTGGGTTATAGATAGTTTTTCCTTAAGCAAATAGTGTGCTGTTCTTCTTGCCTCTAAGACGAGGGAATTAATTGTGGGACTGTAATGTCCCTGGATCATTAGAGGAAGGATCCAGGAGAACTTTAACCTTGAATATTTCAGATGAAGACAGTAGGTGTTGGCTCCCTCCCCTCTTCCAACCTGGTGCCAGAAAGTCAGTTGCCCTAGTTACTCTAGTAAGAATTTACTACCCTGACAGATATCATACTTCACTCCTTGTTTGTCCTTATAAGGTTCCCCACCTTCCAACATCTTCCAACATTCCTGTCCTGGCCAATGGTACACAGCCACACCAACCTTGCCCCAGAGACCCTGCCCACCTCACCAGGAGCATAAATATCCACTTCCTATTACATTAAACCAGTTCTCTGAAGCTGTTCTTGTATGTATGTATTCTTTGCTCTTGTACTCACCAGCTGACCAAGGCCCTGAATTGCACTCACCTGCCCTGAGCAAGATTCTTTCCCTCCAGATCAGCACTGTTCTTCTGCCACATCCTTGAACAATGTTTCATATAGAGTGAATGCTAAAGACAGGTTAATTCTAGTTTGAATTTAGCACTGGGTGGCCATATCTTACCTTTTCACCCTTAGACTGTGACCTTGAGTAATATGCAATCTTCATTTTATTCTCATAGTTGTGAGGATGAGTTAGGACAATGCATGGAAGCATCTGCTACAGAGCCTGGTGGAAACTAAGAAGGCATCAGAATAGGCCAGTCAGTGCAGGATCTAGAATTCCTGTATATAACCAGTGTTCTTACTAAAGTAGGTTGTGCAGTGCAATGAATTATCATTTCATCTATGGATAACAGGAACTTGAACTATAATGTCAATGTAATCATAATTATTATTGTTAAATTTTTTCTTGATTACATGTAAAAAGTAATTTGATTTTGCATACTGATTTTGATTACATTATAATGAGCTTTACAAATTTCTGATGATAATAATGTAAATCACTAACTGAGAAATAGAAAGAGGGCAAGGATGTAGCTCAGTAGTAGAGTATACATTTTTTATACATGAGACCCGGATCCAATTCTCATCACCAAGAAAATATATAAATTTCCTTTTAAATTGACTCCTTCATATCCAACTTAAATTCTCTTGAGCATTCTGAGTCTCCAGTCTTTCAATGGATTGCAGGGCCATTGTGTTGTTTCTTTGATTTCCAAATGAAAACTTGTAGAAAAAAATTGGGGGTAAAATATGGACTCTAGGAAGAATTGAGTCTTCCTAGAATCCCTCCTGGTGACCCATATAACCAATTTGAAAACACTGATGTATTCATCTCTCTACCAATTGACCTTCTACAAAGAAAAGGGCACATACAATTTTGTGATGTTATTTTTATCTGAGGGTAAATGAACCCCTCAAACTCCACCCAATACAATCATGAGAAAGGGTACTCTAAGTTAATACCATCTACCCTTACTAATCATTCCACTCCATCTTCTAGATGTAACTGCATTTTGGAAACTTGGTAAAACTGAAATTCTCCTGGGGAAATTTTAGTTTCAGACTCTAGTATCAAATAAGAAATAGAGAAATCTGGGTCTGGGAGTCATTCATTACTTATTTACTTTTACCAAAAATTTTAAATATAATTATGACTAACACAAACATACCCTAGCCCCTCATATCAAGTATTTGGTAGCCATGATTATAAGCATAAACCTTGAGATTACCCAAAGGTTAACTCGTTGCTGTTTTACAGGATGAAAACTTATATTATATTAGTGAAGTTGGAGCCTATTTGACCATCTCAAATACAGGTTAGTAAGAGAACAGCTCTCATATCACTGTTCTCTGGTTAGCTTATTTTCTTATCACTGACTCTGATAGTTTTTGATGCTTTAAAAAAATAAACAAAATGGAACTAAAACTTTGGGGGAATTCAAAACCTCTGTGTACTTCAGTTTATGTGATCATTAATGATAATAGTCTAGGTTATATTAACAATATCAAATTAAAAGTTCAGTTCCTTTTTAACTGATTTGCTATTGGAGTGAAATTTATTCTGTACTCTTAATTGTATATTATTCTACGGAATTATGATCCAGGTAGGTACCAAGCTTTGTCTGTGTTAACCATAATTATCTAAGTTGACAAAATTCTGTATAGTAGAACTTGCATTCCAGAAGGAAAGAGCACCTTATACAGCCATATTAAATTATATTCTTAAGTGATCAGTTCTATGAGTAAGCACAAACCAGAATGTCAAAGAATGGAGAGCTATTTAGTATGTTCTTTGGGAACCCTCCAGAGGAGAAAGACGAATTTTAAGATGGGATGTTTGAGCACAGTATTTACATTTAAGGACATCTGATTTGAGGCAACTTTCCCAGATGGTAGTAATAAAAAATACATGGGTTTTAAATGAGTGAGCTTGTTAAAGTAGCTATATTTACTACTTTTATATTGGTGCAGTAAAGCTTTATGGCTAGGCTAAGGTAATTTATAAAAGGAAGGTCATATTTGATTTATGGCTCCAAAGATATGAGTTCATTAACATCATGGCAGAGAAGTGTGGCTGCAGGAAAGCATAGCAACTGGGGCATGGGGCAGGAAACTGAGGAGTTACATCTTGATCTATAAGATGAGGCAGAGATAGATAGATAGATAGATAGATAGATAGATAGATAGATAGATGATAGATAGAACACTGGGATTGGGAATGGCATAAAGCTTTGAAACCTCAAAGTCTGAACAGATGTACTCCTCCAACAAGGCCACTTCCCTGAGCAGTGCTACCATCTGAAAACCAATATTAAAATGTCAGAGCCTATGAGGGACATTCTCATTTAAGCTACCATAGCAGTTAAGGAACAATAGTGCTGTTTCTAGTGTCCTAGAAAGTGAACACACAGTAGATGTGGTCCATGGATGGCCCTTCTTGAGCCTTTAGGAAGGTCAGCTAATGACTTGAAATTTCATTCTAAAGCATTTAAGTATACCATGGGAAGATTTGGGTTAAGTGAATGGTATAACAGATTTGCATTTATGAGTGTTCAGTTTGTTTACCTTATGTAAAATTACCCATAGAAAGACATAAACACATTCATAAATGTTCATGTTTAGAGAGATAATGTTCTCCCCAAAAATCTAATGAGCTTCTGGAAGCCCTCAGATATTACCCTAGAAAGTCTAGCTTTAGGTATCATGTTTGTACTAAGCTCATCTATTATGCCAGTCACTACATTTGAAATGTTCTTTTTTAAAAAAAAGTACTATTATTTGATTGGTTTAAAGATTATTACTTAATGATCTCCCAGTAATGATATTTGCCAAGAAATAAAACTGTGGACAGTCTGTTTAAAATGTTTGCCATATCATCGGTGCCCCAGCATATGGGAATGCTAGGGTGGTGAGGTGGGAGTGAGTGGGTGGGCAGGGGAGCTCCCTTATACAAGCAGGAGGAGAAGGGATGGTATGGGGGTTTGTGGAGGAGAAATGGGGAAGGGGATAATATTTAAAATGTAAATAAATAAAATGATCATATGTGTGGGTGCTGTGTTTTACTGCTATTATTGATATTATCAAAGGGGATTTTGTTAGTGATGTCAATTACATGCAAATAAAAGAAAACAACTAAAAATAATTTTCTACTTATATTTGCATCACGTAGACTAGAGAATCAGTATTATGTGTGCTAATAGAACTTGTTTAACATTATCTTGAGGGATGGCCAAGATTTTAGCCAGTAATATGGTAATCAACTCTTAGGAAAGGTGGGAAAGGAATATCAGACTAGAGATTAACTTACAGGCTGATAGGAAAACCAGTTCTAGGTTCATATGATTAAGGGATCAGCAATGTTAGCAGGAAAAATAGTAGACACAGTAATGGTGGTTTTCATGTCTCTGTGGTACTGGTGCTAGTATTAGTAACAGTAATTCATTATCATTATAGTACTGGTATCAGATTTAATATTAATGGGAAGGGCAGCAATAGTATAGACTAATGATATGTGTGTAGGGAGACAGTAGATAAATAGAAACACACACACACACATGATATGATACAGTAGTAGTATAAATAGATAATTTAGTACATTATCTCAGAGCAACTTGTTAATTTTTATAAGACTATACAGTAACTGGAAATGGGACAACAGTGAGATAGGCTTCTTGCTCATTAGATTTTTTTTTGTCATTCATGAAGTCAAAGAATTATTAGAAGAGTGCTTGGTGAGTGTTGAGTTGGAGTAAATGAAGTTTGTCATACATTTAATCTCATCTGCCTTAAAGATCACTTTTTTGAAAAATGTATACCTAACATAATGAGTAGGCCCCTTTCCCACACAGTAAACAGAAGGGATGGGATATATTTCCAAGGATGGATGTAACTTCTTTCCTGATGAGTTCTTCCTCCTTCTCTACCAACCAACCCAGTCTTATGACATGCAGATGCATTATTTGTGCACTTGTCTATCTTTGTTCTGCTTCATTATCATATACTCCAAGTGTCAGAACAATCTCATTTCTCTTTCTAACATCTTTAGGAAACTCCTTATAGCCCTAGGAATTCACAGTTCTATCTCTAATCACGTGAAACAAAACTAGAAGAAAAACACTCAGTTCACCATTACCACATGGGAATCTATGTGAAACATCTCATATATATTCCAAACAGAGCCACAAAAATAGTCTGCACACATAGAATATCTTTTCATGAATAAAAGATAGCAGGACTCCAAGATTACCCCATCTGAAGGAAGGTAGCTGGCTATTCATGAGCATGGTAGTGGCACATGGAATTCAATTGATATTGTCAGGATTCTCTCATATCATATTTTACTTTGTCTTCAGAGAAGACTTACCAAGGAAAGAAGAATACTATAATGATGTTTGAGACAGTAGTTGGGCATTCCTTCAAGTGTGTCAGTGAGCAGAGCATCCAGCTGTCAGCTCAGCTTCAAATGAAAACAATGAATATCCATCTTCAGGCCTTTGATTTTGCAGGAGACTCCTTTGGAAATGGTAAGTTATGTGTCCTCAAGTCACAAACAGCCTTAAAAAGCCTAGTGGGGAGTTTTAAGTTATCTTTATTCTGAAGCTGTCAAGGGGCCAGAGCACATGGTTCACTATAATAGTCTAACTCTGTGAAGCTTTAAGGGCTGTACTCACCCTATGCTTACATGTGAAAACTGTATATATAATTACACCCATGTCTTCCAACTTACAGTGGGACTCTTCATCTGACTCACTCATTTAAACACACATACATGCACATAAACATGCACACATGTGTGTGCACATGCATGCTCACATACACACACCAAAAAAGAGGGGGAAATGTTGTGGACTCATCTTGGAAATGCTGTTGAAGACTAATCAACTCCAGCATGTTCAAACAATATTTTAAACATCTTCAGTAAGAGATTTTAAAAAGGTTTTGTAATTGATTGTTCCCATTTGTAGAGAGGGAAAAGAAAAATGTGCTTTGTCCACATTCAAGAATGAAGTTAAGTTCTGTCAGAATCACTTTTCTGGAATATAAGGCATCATTGGACATTTTCTCCCAGCTAGTTTGGTTTACATAATCTGACTTTTTCTTTGCATTTGAACCACAACACAGAGCTCAGCTGGAACTTCCCATTGTAGAAACTAGCCCTTAGATGAAGGCCAGGGCTAGATAGGTCACTTTTTAGAAAGGCCTTGTCTTAGTCACTGTTCTTTTGCTATGAAGAAACATCATAAACATAGCAACTCAGAAAAAGGGCATTCAACAGTTTCAGAGTGTTAGTTTATTATCATTGTAGTGAGGAGCATGTGGCACATAGAGAGTCACAGCTCTAGAGCTGGAAGGGTTACATTCAGATCCATAGATATCAGAGAGAAAAGAGAGAGAGAACCTGGTCTGGCACAGACTTTTGAACCCAAAGCCCACCCATAGTGATACACTTCCTGAAACAAGATGACATGTACTACAACAAGGCCACAACTTCTCATCCTTTTAATCCTTCTCAAATAGTGCCACCTCCTGATGAGTAAGCATTCAAATATATGAGCCCATGTCAACCATTATTATTCAACCCACCACAACCACCTTTTAATGTTTAGAAAACAATGTTACTCAGACATCTGTTTGACCAGAATAGTCATAAACATCACCTAAAATATCTTTTTTGTAGAAACTCAAACATATTATAGGTACTTTTCAAACACTATTAGAGGCTTCATGTGAACTTCTAACATGAATCTGATTTTATGTTGGGTTCCATTATACAACTAAAGATGTATCTAGGGAAACAAACTCTTTATTTGTTCAATTAATAATCCAGGTGTTGTTTAGGGAAACAAACTCTTTTTTATTTGTCCAATTAATAATTCAGGTGCTGTTTGTTTTATATCCTGTGTTTTTGAAGGGTTTCTTTCTGTCTTAGAGTTTCTGCATTTGTTTTCTGTCTTTGTCTTAGGGTTAATTAGTAAGTACCACCATAGTTAAGCTGTCAAAACTGTTCTTAGAATGTCTAACTTCTCAAAAATGTTTACTTCTTTGCACACATACTCTAACATTAGTCACATTTCAGAATGAGGCACACAGTTGTCTGTATAATTGTATATATATATAAAAAAAACTCTGTGAAGCAGGAAAGGGGTAGATCTGCTGAACAAAACCTGTCTCATGTCTGGTTACCATTGTGAATGCTCACAGGCAGATGCATAAATGCTCTTTTTTGTTTGTTTGTTTTCCTAATGAAAAAAACAATCGTTTGTTAAAGAGACCTTACTAAGCAAGAGACCAATGTTCCTTCACTCTTGTTGCTATTCATGTGCTCATTGAACTCTCACAAACTCCTACCATTCTACCACCAAAAAGTTCCTCATTTGGTCACTGCCTTAGCCCAAGTCTACATTCTAGATTTTGTAATTCTGAAAAATAAATTTTATGATGATCAAGTGGAAAGATATATGTAATTCTTTAAATGCTATATTTTATGAGTAACAGCCATTTAAAAAGGAGAAAGCTATTGTGTGAATGGAATTTAAAGACACAGGTACAAGGGCCATAGGCACAGTGCTCTTGATGAGGGGTAGATCAAAGAAGGAAAGTTTTCAACAGTTTCTGTTTTCCCAATCATTAGTTTAAGCAGGAAGCTCATGCAATCTTGGCAACTACTCTGTGGTTGATGGTTACTTACGAAATGCACTTCATCTTTTTGGAAGTGTCTTAGTTCTTTTCACATTCCTAAGGGGTTGAGGAAGCATATGGAAGATTTAAGAAAGCCTAAAAGGCCTAGTTTTCTTCTAAGTGACTCAGAGTTAATAGCACACACCTGGCTTGGAGAGACGTGGTTTCCTTGGTCCACTGTCAAACACTTTTTTTTCTAGACTCCAGGTTTAAAGTGTCAGGGGCTCTTGTAAAGCTCTACAGAACAGACTGGAGATGTTTACTTATGATGTTACTAGCCATCTTGAGAAACGACCACACTAAAGTATATTTAGTTTGTGGAAGTGGCTTCCAAAACATATCGGAACCAGGGACAGAGCTTAATGTAAAGACTAGAGCAGTAGCTGTTTTGTAAAATTGTAAGTTTTATTTCCACCACTTTCTTTAGGCTAATAGACTTCTGTTATCTATCTGTACTAACATAAATTGTCCTCCATGTTAACATGGATAAACATTCCAGCAACCATGAAGATCAGGAGTTTTTTTTGGAATAACTAGTAAACCAATACTTGAATATGTTCATTTCTCACAGCTTTGCTTACTTTCTTCCATACAGAGTGGTGGATCTTCTGTGGCAGACTCCTAACTCTGCCTCCCTCTTCCCATCCAACACACACATAGTCACTCTAAGAAACTTTCAATAAACGAACAAAATTCTGTAGGGACTTCCTTCTGTTTGTAATAAATAAGAGTGAATTGCTTCATAGTCTTTGTTTTCAAACATAGGCAATAGAAAGAGTGAACAGAGGGACTGAAGGAAGTGAGCTGACATCCATCCCAAACAACAGGATAAAAGCAGTCCATAGTTAGTTTCCTGACTACATAAAAATAATAGAATACAAGAACTCAAGGAATTTATTGGGAGATTTCCAGTACAATTGAAATAAGGTATGTAAGTCATCCACATATTATCAAGGAAAATTAAGTTTTTGGACCACTATGATTAAGTGTTAGCAAAACAAAAATAAGGTATGACCACTGGCAGAAGCACTGCAGAAATATAAAAATATTTTGAAACTAAGTAGATGAAGTATTAGGAGTAATGCTTGATTAGGCATGTCATAATGAAGTACTACAGGCTGGATATCTTAAGTAATAAAAATTTGTGTTCTAACAGTTCTGGGAGTTGAAAGCCAAGAACAATATGTTGGCAGTATTGGAGTCATTAATTTTTTTATTTTATTGAAAATAGATGTTTCATATAATATATTCTGAATATGGTTTCTCCTCCCCCTAATCTTCTCAATTCCTTTTGCCCTACCCTCCCTTCCAGATCCACACCATTCTTATTTCTCTGTAGAAAATAAGCAGGCATCTAAAGAACAATAGTACAATTCAATAAGATAAGATAAACCAAAATCAACAAATCAGAATAATACAAAAATAACCAAACAAGGAACCAAGCCATAGAAAAAGCACAAGAAACACATATAGACACAGAAACACAGGTTTATATATACAGGAATCACATATGACATCCCCACCCTGCAAAAGAAAGCCATATATATATATATATATGGCTCCCTTTCCACAGTTGAAGCAATTCTACCTGGAGGTAATGATGCTCACTATCTTCCCTGATGTGGAATGGGGATACTATTAGGAGCACATATGTCTCATAGTCAGATGATCCTTAATAATGAAATAACATTTAATGTCACATTCTGTAGATCTCTGATGCTTTTGAAGACTATCTATCTATCTATCTATCTATCTATCTATCTATCTATCTGGCATAACTAAATTGTCAAACATTGGTTATTTTCAGCTATTCACTATTTAAATAATCTTGAAAACATCTTTTGTAATTAACTACATTAAAATCTAATATAAGCATGAGTTTTACTATCTCACTATTAACTTGCATTACTTAATCATTGTGATGCTTTGTATATTCTTGAGCCAGGAAGTGGCACTATTAGGAGGTATGGCCTTGTTGGAGTAGATATGTCACTGTGTACATGGGCTTTAATACCCTAGTCCTAGCTGTCTGGAAGTCACTCTTAGAGGCCAGCAGATGAAGATGTTAACCTCTTGGGTCCTCCTGCACCATGCTTCCCTGCATGCTGCCATGTTCCCACCTTGATGACACTATACTGAATTTCTGAACCTGTAAATCAGTCCTAATTAAATGTTGTCCTTATAAGAGTTGCCTTGGTCATGGGGTCTGTTCACAGCAGTAAAAACCTAACAAAGACAATCATCATAAGTAGTTTATAGTAACAGTTATTAAACGGACTGGGTCTAAGCCTTGTATTCTCAAATGAGTTTCATAGGCCTAGTACCATTCTAAGAGAAATAATATTAATTTTAAATTTTGTATCAATATACAAAGAATTATACTAATGAAAATATTAAAAACTGTACCAATATATAATTTCTTCACCAATGTAAGAAATTATAACTTTAATTTTGTATCAAATATAAAGATTTCTACCAATGTAAGATTATGGCTATACAATGCTTTGTTTAAGAGTAAATTTAATATCCTATTCTTATTTTTCTATAATATTACTGTATCCCTCTTTTTTTCTCCCCTCCTTTTACTGAAGAAAGAAGGACAAATAAGAGGAAAGGAAAGGAAAGGTAGAAATTCCTGAGTCTAAGCTCTCTAATTTCTTCCATGTCCAAAGGTGCAAAATTTTAAAATTATCCCTTTAAATGACAACATATCTATAATTTGTAAAAGAAAAAAAAACCTGAACCATCCACGCCAACCAAAGTGACTAGGACAATGATCTTCTTTTGCTTGCTTCTTGCTGAACTGGGGCAAAGAATTCCTTTCTGGGTGCCCAATGGAGAATAG